ACGGAAAGAGACAGCAGTTTAAACTGAAGGTCGGTTGTCTTTCAAAACATGCGAAGGCAACCTGACAATCGAAGGTTTGTGCACAAAATCTAAACCATTTTTTATGTTTTGTTGTGTGGGTGCAATGCCACTATGGAAGTCTTCACTTGTTTTTGTTGGGCCCCAAAATTGTTTTGATCCCTTGTGCAACCTTGAGCCGCTTGTGCAACTGCACTGCAAAAACTGTGAAACGCAACTCGTGCCTTAGCGGGCAGAGTGTCTGCGCAGGATGTTGTCCACGGAATTGTTTTGGGAGATCCAGGGAGCAGCTGGTAAAGACAGCACTTTTGCGTCTATCTTGCATTCTCGTGAATAAGGTCCATCAATAATGGGTGCTCATCTTGGGAAGTGCCTCCAAATTCAAAGTTTTTTGACTGTAAAACAACATTAATCGGGTTAAATCACATTTCTGGTGTTTTGTAGACAAGGACACATGTCTGCGGTGGGCTTTGTGTGCAGTGTTGGAGTGTCTGTGGATCAGCTGGTTGATACTTGACATTGGGTATTTTGTTGTTCTGTCTTCTCTTATATCAATTTTTTTGTGGATTTAACATCTCGGCACAAGCTACGCTTTATCCTTTACCGAAGTTCATTTGATCATCCTTCAATGCGTGGCCATGGCATGGTTGATCATGTAGCAAAAGAATGTGCAGAGGGTATTGTTTTGCAGTTCCCAGAGCGCAAGAGTAAAAAACACATTTGTTGGATAACTTGGCCATCTATGCACAATTTTACGAAGTGAAATCCGCCTACCTTCAACAAAAAACACCTCTCTAAAGTGACGTGGCCAGGTTTACTTCAGCTCTTTGTCGTGTTTGTGGCGCTTATTTCCAGATGCTTGGTTGCATTACACATGCATCAACACAACAAGAACGGGACTCTGTGTTCATTCCATTGAATGATACAACCTTGAACAAGCGCTCCGAGCCAAGGTGATGCTAGTTCCAGCGATGATATAGTTTTGCTGCAAAGGATCCACTCATCCACTACTAACTATAAACCTTTTGCCGTGCCCCGTGTTGGCAGTCTGATTGGTTTGGTGAATGTTCGCAGGACTGGCGGTGGGACCCTTAAGGAGCTGTCACCGGAGGAGCTCTTGGCAGAAGATGAGGAGATGGAGGCCACTCCCAAAAAGTGAGGTTTTTGCTTGTTTGGGGCATGGGGTCTAGGAGTTGCCTCTTCCTTCTTTGCAATGACCCATAGCTGTTGATCCCAGTACAGCTCAATTGAATGTCCCGGAAGCTTCAGCTCCTTTTTGCCAACAAAGTGGGTCAAGATCCTCATTGGACAAGATGCATGGTTCGGGTTCAGGGGCTACCAGCAATGCGACCAACATCGTTGCTGCAGAATCCTCTTTGTTGCACCCGTTCCCAGAAACTCTATGGCCGCTTTTGCGTAGTCACACTCTTGTCATGTCCGCTGTTTTACAATTCTTTTCTATTATTGATTGGGTTTGCAGCAAAGAAACCATACAAAACCGGGTGGGGGATCTTCTCAATTTTTGACAGATACAGATACAGTACTCGTTTTGCAAGGAGGAGCTGACAGATGAAGTGGATGGAGTGAGACAGGTCCTCAGCTGTGACGTGGCGGGAGTCTTTGGTGGGGAAGGTGGGAAGGTCTCTTCTGGTTTTACAAGACGTTGACAATCAGGTGATGAGTGGAGGGTGTCAAGAGCTAGCAGATGGCTTTAGGCTAAGACTTCGACTGATTGCGGACAATGGGCAACATCCAACAAACATATACAACTGTGCTTAGTTGCGATTGCAGCAGACTGACAGACAAGAGGAGAATGAACCATTTTTGCACCACACAGACAATGTGTTGTGACAGGAAAACACTGAAAAGGCCCCTTTGCACCGGGCAAGTCGATGTGATCATGGCCAGCATGCCAAGAAACAGTGCAATACAAGCAATGAGCTGTATAATTTTGCAGTTGGACTACCATTTCCATTTCTTTGTTCCTAAGGTGTAGCAGCAGGATTTGTGCTGCAGCAACACTTTTCCTTCCTGTGCCATGTCAGTCTAAGTGGTACAGTATTTTGGCGAGGCAACGCTCCATGTCACAAAACTGGTGTGAAGGGTGGTCATAGAAGCTCTTTCTGAGCATCCCGATGCACGGGAATTGTGGACACCTTGGGTGTGTGAATACACACAGCTACATGACCTGCAGGTCCCTGCGTGGCAGCTGGGACGTGCTTGGACTGAGAGTGGGCTGCATGCCGACACGGTGAATGGCAAGAGGACCAACGGCATTCGTCAGCGAAAGGCGCTGTGGAAGGCCTTTCCGAACCTGAAAAGAAAGATTTTCAGGCTGAGATTGTTTGCATGCCAAGAATCCGACCACGATTGGTTGAAAGGCAGGCAGACAATACGTGATTGTAGAATGTGACTTCACTGATGGAAAAAGGAACTAGACTAGTGTCAGGATGTCAATTTGCACTTGTGTTGACAGACATGATGATTATCATTGGGCCGTGCGCCCTGCAGCAGTTTTGGCTCCAGTGCACCCCCAGTTGAACCACGTCTCCATGTCCCGACGAGATTTTTGGATCCCTTGAAGAACCTGATGAATTTGAAGGGATCGCACCAGACTTGCTTCCAACAAAGACCCTTTTCATACGTTTTCAATCCCCGAGTTCCCGACGAGACTCCGCATTCTCATGCGCAGTCCACGGAGCCGCACGCCGCGTTCGCACGACGAGCAGCCCAAGAAGAAGATGCGAGTGGAGTGTGGGGACGCCCGTGTGAGCACCATTTCGACGTAAACGGTGGACGAAAAGAGCTGATTGGGAGCTCATCCGCGGGAGATGAGTGGATGTACAAATGAGAAGGAATCATAAGAGTCCCGAAGGTCGAAACATAGCATTCAAAGTGAGTGCTTTTGTTGAAGAGGGCAAGCACATCCGGCACAACGATTTCACACACGTTCACCTGGTAGGTCCACTGAAAAGGGTTTCATGACCAGGACACCGCAAGACAGTCTTAATTGGTTCGTAGGGATGCCAGAAGAATTGGGTTCGGTGCAACGGGCGCTTCGTTTTGGACAGTTTCATAAGTCTCACTTGCTTTCATAAGTCGTGCTAGAAGAAAAAGATCCGTGTGACTTTTGGATGAACAACGCCAAGTCCTTGGCGTCTTCCCCTTGGAACGCCTCGTCTTCGAACCCTTGGATGAACAACCAAGTCGAGCCTTCCTCTTCGTCCCGTGGAGCCCTCTTCGAGGCGCTGCGACGACGTGGAGCTGGCCTCGACGCGTGGACGAGATCGTAGGAGAGTGCCGCAGTTCGATGTGCGGCCCTGTCTTTCCCTGCGCAACACACGGAATTCCACCCTTGCGGAACGAAGGCATTCTAAACGCTGCAAACGTGAAGTTTCGACCGCAGGAAGTGGTTTGGGTGGCTGTCTGGCGGTCACAGACGGTGTGAGGGAAATCACTTGGCTGGAATTGGCGACCGCTTCCAAGGTGCGAGGCCCAAGTTTTCGCACTGGTTGATGTCTTGGAAGTGGTTGAATCTTTGGAAACCAGGATTTTCTGAGAGACTTGCACAGACATGCCATTCGTTCGGAAAGTGGTGGGCTGGACCCAGGTCGTGGCGAAGTCCTTGGCGAAGCTTGGCCTTACAGGCCTCTTCTTCCGCCTCGGATTGGCTTGGGTATGTGATGAGTTCAGGTAGACTCAGGTAGACCCTTGTTGTTGTCGCGGGTCTTTTGAGGGTTTCTTTCGGATCATTTGAGGGTTTCTTCTGGAGATGTTGCTGCAGGGTGTTCTTTTCGCACAGCATTGATGCCATTTGTTTGTGCCCTCTGGGAGCTGACCCTCCAACTCTTTTTTGAGACTTGCAAAAGCCATGTAGGTCCCTGACGTCTTTTGAATTCAACAAACACCTACGTTAGGCATGTTTTTGTGGCCGGAAGGCGGTTGCCCAGCCGCGCCAGGCTCACCCACGTCGGCCTACCGGGTGGACGACCGGCCTGCAGAGGCTCCTGCGCCAATGGTGCCGTGGCAGAACCGAATGTGGTGTTTTCAATGGCCCAGAGAAGAGATCAGGTTGGTTCTACGTACTCTGATGTCTCAAACGAAGCAAGTTGTTTTGTTTTGTATGCCCATGTATACCCTATTGACTCTGCTGCAAGTTCATTTGGTGTTCCCGGAACTTTCCAGGAAAAAAGGACAAAGAAGGATCATTTGCAAGATTCCAAGTGAAATGGAGGAAATCCGTTTGCAAACGTCCAATGGACAATTCTTGGACAGGTGCTCGGACCGGCATTTGTTGGTTCCTGTCACTTGTGCTAGTTGCGCCAAGGAATTTCAGCTTTTGGATTGACTTTTTGTGGACTGAGGTGGTGATGGTTGGACACAATGTGGAGAGCTTGATCATCATCCTTGGGATTCTGCGCCAAGGCTTTCCATTGTTGCCCTTGTCCGTGACCCATGCCAACAGGACTGCTGGTGAACAGATGCTGTGGATATTATGATAATTGTGGTTGTGAGATTCGCTGAGCGTAGCTGCAGATCTTTGGCTATAGACAAACCATAGCTGCTTGTGAACTTGGCACTCGACTCGAGAGCGAAACTCATTCGGCTTGGCGACCCAGTTTCAATGTGTGATTGACCAAAATCAAGCCATTTCATGATTAGCCATCGGGCTTGCAATTGTTGTTTTTCCATCCCTCTTCGAGAATGACTCCACTTAACCAATCTGGATGGGTGACACACCAAGCAGTGATTCTCAAACCAAAGCTGCTGACCAGCTGAGAGCTGGTGGGGTCCTCAGGAGCCAACTTCTGTCTCGCTATGAGGACGGAGGGCCGCGAGGGCCTGGGCTGTATGTCACCCGTTTCAGGGAGGTTCTTTGCATGGAAGTCCAACTCGCCTGGCCTTGACCAATCCACTTCAGCTGCACGTGCCGCTCCTTCGTTGCGTCGACCTCTTCCGTGCACCACGACTGTGAGGACGCCATGACGCTCTTCGAGCCGGTGGCCGCCGTGACGGATAGCGACCTCGTGCAGGAGCTGCAGCACTTCCGCCCAGCACTGCAGGCGGTCAGACTCGCTTTGGGGTTCAGAAAAGTCGACGACGAGTATAGGGGGAATCAGGTGCAGGGACAGAGGGGTCTTGTGGGTTTCCAACACTTTTTGGAGGAGGTCCGGTTTTCGTTCTCAAATCCATAGCAAAGGGTTCTCGTTGGACACCGGGGGTCTTTTGGACGTGCCTCCTGACAAAGTCTCAGGAAAATCTTGCTAAGGGTGCGAGTTTGCGTGGGCTGTGTGAAGTAGGAAAGTGTCGAAAGCATGGACCATTGCTAGACATGTCTGGCTGTGTGGCATAGCCCACATACTTTGTTGCAGGCGTACAAAGTATGCGTCTTAAAGGGAGTTCGTCAGGTCAGGGAACGAAGCTGAGTTCGTGGGGAGGTTTGGTGCACGTGAGTTCGTTTGGCGCCATCGGGATTGGCTAACCGGGGTTGGAGACGGACCTGCTCGGCAGCGTTGCGTGAACTGTCCAGTGTGACAAGACTTTCCGCTCCAAAATTGAAGGAGGTCTCGTATGAAATGCTCGTTTTGGAATGTTTTGGAGATTTCTTAGCTGTACTAGACTTGTGAGAGAAGTCTCGTGCAACATGCTCGCTTTGAACACTTGATGCGTGACTATTGGAGGACGTCTCGTCAAAAATTCTCGTCAAAAGTTATCGTTTCGCGGGACTTTTGGAGACTGGACGTCTTGTACGAAATGTTTGGAATTTAGAGGGCACCGGGAACTTCGAGGAAGGAAGTCTTGTACGCAAGGAAGTCACTTGACGTGCGGGAGCTGGAGGAAATCTCGCCAGCAATGCTCGTTTGGATGTTCCCCGTTTCAGGCTTGGAGCTGTAGCTCAGACCTGGCCTTGCTGTAGACAAGAGTGTCCTAGAAGAGAGTCGTGAAAAGGTGTCCCAAAACAGTGTCAAGCAAGAGTGTTTTGCACAAAAGAGTGCCTGACAAGAGTGTCGCACAAGAGTGTTGCCGCAAGAATGTCGCACAGGACCAAGAGTGTCGGGCAAAAATGTCCCACAAGAGTGCCATTCAAAAAGCTCGCAAAAGAGTCTCTCACCAGAGTGTCAAGCAAACGTGTCTCCCAAGAGTGTCAAGCTAGGGTGTCTCAACAAAATATCCTACAAACTGTCCCGCAAAGGTGTCCAGAAGAATGTGAAGCAAGAGTGTCCTAGCAAGTGCCCCGGGAAGTCTTTTTCTGCTAAATAGTTGAGACCAGCGCAAGAAAGAGAGACCAACCTTGTTTGACACACCCACTTGTTGAGGGGCCATTGGATGATTTCCGTGGAACCAGCTTTTCCCCACTTGAGAAGAACGGCTGCACGAGCCCCTGCCAACCAGTCAAGGTTATGGGATTCGGAGGGAAGTTTAAAGCTTAGGGCCTGAGGTCAGGTGCCAGGTCCAAGGTTCTTGGTCTTTTTGGGTGGATTGGGGCACAGACCATTGGCCCATTGACCAGGTGGTGTCTGCCAGGGAGCTTCTGAATGGAGACCCGATGGTGGAGGACTACGAGGAGAACCACTTGGTGTTGGACGGGTCATTGCTGCTTGGGACAGCCTTTCCTGCTCGGAAGAGTGGTTTTTGATCACCGAGATGAGTCTTTTTGTGTCTCCCCAGCGCGGAATGTGAGGATGTGCCCACGACCACTGACCATGTGCTCTCCTATATCTTCACCAGTGGCTCCACAGGTGGGCCGCGCCGCCGCGGCCGAGCCGGATCCGAGCCGACGGACCCACGCGCACGGAATGGCGGGCATCTGCACCATTCTGTCCGACCAACTGTGGCTTTCGGTCTTTGCTGGGTCATTGGCCAAAAGAATCCGGGCGATGTGTTGCCGGGTTTTTCTTGATCTCAGAACTTCGGACCTTCCATCGCCGCGCTGAGTGTTCTCAACGGGTCGAACCGCCCGCAGGAAAGTCCAAATGTGTGGTGGCCACCAATCGCATGGCCTGGGCAGAGTGCCAGTGGTGCCCTTGAGAACGAGGGGGGCAGTACAGTGCTGGAAGAGATTCCTCCCGATTGTTTTTCATGGACTTCGTAAGAAGTACTCCCTCCAATCACAGAATGGAATGTCCACAAAAGGAAGGTTTAAGCCTTTACCTTTCATGCCGATGCCTATATTTCCACGTCTTCTCACCATCTTCCAAGCCAGCACGGTTCGATAGCACCATTGATATGGTGTGCTAGGTGAGATGGGGTGAGATACTTTCACATGAATGCCTCCTTGAAGTAGCCTTTGCACTTGGTGAAGGAGAATCATGAAACACCAGAAAGCCACCAACAATACATGGGCTTGTCTTTCTTTCTTTAAGGCGTCCAGTTTATGTAGGGCTGGGGTGTTCGACTTAGGCGAAGCATACCCCGAAGCATACCCCCGAAGCATACCTCCGAAGCATACCCCATAGTCAAACATCCCGGCCCGGGAACCTTTAAAAGAAATACAAACCCACATACACTTTCAGCTATGGTCCCCTTCGTTCCATCGATCCGGATCGATGATCTCCTTCTGACCTCCAATGGGACCCGTTCTGTTCTTCGATCGAATCGAGTGCTTCATCTCGAGGTACCCAGAGCTTTTTGAGAAGCTGGGCTACAAAGTGGATCCCAAGAAGGACTGCAGCAACAATTCGGCAGTTGTCTTTTGTTGGCCCCAATAATTACAATTATCTATCACACAATTAGATCTGGGACCTCCAGTTTCGAGGCCTTCAGCTGACCAACCTTCAGCTTCTCCTCCATTGTTGATGCACGTGGGCACCACTTCCCGCACCAGGTGATAAGCCGTTGCCAGACACCTGCAAAAGCGCAGCTTGTCCTCGAGACTTCGCAATCCTTGATTTTGTTGACCTTCACATTGGTTCCAATCCTTCACATCTTCCACTCCCAAGTCGAAAGAGTCTGGAAGCTTCTAAAGAGTCTGGAAGGTGAGCACACCCTCCAAACTCCGAGACAGCTCAGCTGGCATCGCCAGGATAGGTGGCGCCTGGATCATGAGATGGGCTGGTGGGGCGCAGCCTTCTTCGGCGAGGTGGACGTGGCGCTGGTGTGGGGCCCGGGGTGGTCGAGCGGAGTGGAGAGGGTGGTTGGTGGTGGAAGGTGGAGCCCCCAACTGTCTATTGATTTCTCTCCTTTGGTCGTTTCAATCGTTGCAAGTCATTTTTTCTCTCAACTCTGTTGTAACCGGGCTGTTCTCCACCTTCATTTTTGAACCTGACAAAAGACCGGAATTCCTGGGTGGCTGCACTAGAGCAGGACTTGGTGTGACGCTGGAATCCAGCAAGGTTTAACGCTAAGCCAACGATCCTCAAAGAACTACCTTTAGTATCCTTTAGTGAATTCATTGGATTCAACAAGCTCTTTTCAGGCCACACATGCAGCTGTGGATTCCGTTTTTTCTTCGGGGTCTGCGACATCGGACGCGACATCGGTTTTGCGCGGTGAGCGAAGGGGTTTTCATCCCGGAGGTGACTCCCAAGACGGAAGACCTCTGAGTAAAAAAGAATGCCCGGTGCTGCACAGGTAGGTCCGAGTGGTGATGTAGCAATCATAGAGTTACTTGTTGATTCTTCAAGCCTAGCACCTAGCACATGGCACTTGCTCTTTCTTTGACCAATTTGACCGCATGTGACCTCGGAAAGGCTTCTCCACAGCTTTTTGGTGCAGGGTGAAACTGATGAATGACACCATTGCAATTTCTGAGATTGCGAAAGTCACAACAGAACTCCTTTTTTGCACCATCTCAACGGAAAGCCGGATAGATAGTTTGTTCTGTCTTCTATTGAAGTCTTCCGTGCATTCTTAACATAACTTAACATATGTATGATGTATCAAACAGGAGTATGTGGCCATGTATTTGTCCATGATTCCTTTCACTCAGCTCTCTCGCCCGAGGGCGTTTTTATTTTTTTTTCCCACCGGCCCGAGGGCCGGCCTCCAAAAAGGCCATGGCCATGTGCATCGTGATGATGAAGCCGACGGATCCGGACTGGGGCCAGCGTGGTGTGACCGTCTCAGGGGCTCTACCTTCACAGCTGACCCTCGGCATCCGCCGTTCCGTCACCGTGCATGGGTGGGTGGTGGGTGGTGGCGGAATCCACTGGGCCGGAGGCAGTGTCTTCAGACCAATGGGGCCAGGTGATTTATGATGGCTCGAGACAGGGTTTAACGATACCAGTCGATGCAGCTTTGGACAGATTTTTGGGCACATGCCTCCAACTGAGTCAGCCATGTTCTTTTCCCGCTGGTCAATTTGCACTAAGACTTTGTGCATGTACCAGGCTTCCATCAATAGATGGAGAGTGAATTCGAGGGTAAACTATGATGTGAACTCCAAAATTGAAAACCCATACACGTTCTTGGCTGAAATTGAGTCAAGACCCTTCGTCCTTTCGTTCAAGACTTTTTTTCTTTCTGGTCTCTTGGCTGGATCGTCGCTTTCCGTCGCTTCCCGGTCTCTTCCCAGCTGGCCCAATTCACTCGCAGCGGCATCGGTGCCTCGTCATGGCCAACCTCGTGGGGGAGGCGGTGAACGTGGACAACAGTGATGCTCCGGTGGTGACGGGCGCACCCGTAGCCAATGACAAGCATCCCGGAGCCGCCTATGCTCCCGGGCCCACGTTGGCGGCGGCCGAGGTGAGAGGTAGCAGTTATGAAGGGTCAGAGAGCTGCAGCTGGTGGATGGAAGTGATTCTTCTCGAATGAGGTTCATGTTATATAATAAAACTGTTCCGCCAGAACTTCCGGAGTGAAATCCCACGCGTGTACGCTTTGCAAAAAGGGTGATTGCAAACGACAAGACGTATGGGTAGCGTTCGCTTCCTTCACCCCCTTTTCGCTTCCTCAAACATACTATACTATACCTTTTTTTTTGTCTGCGGATGATGGATCAGATTTTGTGCAACACTACTACTTTGCACGTCTTCGTTCGAGTCGGCAGACCGACTCCGAGTCGGCAGACCGACTCCGCACAGCACGTACCGGTCCCAGACTCGACCGGAAGCCGGTTTAGGTGTACGTTCAACGGGCTTCGTGGTCACTCACGGTTCCGGGTCACCCCCACATCCTGGCTTCGCCGCGTAGGGGAGGTTGTACAGGAATGTGGCAGTGGGTCATAGCCAAAAACCCACCAAGACATGCGAGGTTGACAGAATCTGTTCATTTTCAGGGGTCAACCAGAGTGCTTGGGGTTTGACCCACAGCATTCCTACCGTTGGTAAAGTCCAGAAGTGGATTTCATAGTGAGCCACATCACACTTCCTCATGCTACACTTCATCAACTACAGTTGAGCAGATGACACATCACAGCATTGCTTTTCACCACGCTACACTTAACCAATCAACAAATCACATGAAAAACACTTTGGTCAACACATGCTTCACATCACATCTACATCTCCGCGCAGTTCACTCCACCGGGTCGCGTGGTTTCTGCTCTCAGGCCCACTGAGACCCGACCCGGGTGAACAGCGACCAGGTATGATAATGATGTGAGCTCATTCAGATCATGCTTCGCCAACTGAGAACTGGCTACAAATCAAGCACGCCGATCAAAAATGACATCTCATCACGGTCCACACTACACAGACCACATCACAGACCACCACGGCTGCACATTATCACGTCACATTCATACAAATGAACACGTTACCGGCACCGGGGGGGCACTTCACCCCGCGATTCAGTGCAATTTACCACAGTACACTTCGCCGGGTTGCAACTCACTACACTGTACGCTTTGCCACATTACGACTCACTGCATGCCACTTTACTGTGCTACACTGTACCACATCACCAATCAGTACTGTACACTTCACCGCCCACCGCCTGTGGCAGAGACTACCTTCATGTTGATGGTTGAAAGCATACCGGGGGCCCACGTTGGCAGTGTGGGCCCCAAAGTTGGCAGGCAAACTTGAAGCCTTGCTGCTGGGAAGTTTGCTTGATGGGCGATTGTAAAATTGCCGGAACCAAGATAGGCGAGGCCGAGCTCTGAACGGGTTGGCAGCGCGAGCGTGGTTGGACGATTGGCGTTTGATTTTGGTGTCCAAGTCCCAGACTGGGTAATAGCATCACTCAAAGATGGCAGAAGTTTACCTGTTGGGAGCGAGACGATGGAGTCCACATGTGCACACAACCCTCACCTGCAGTGCTTTTGACTTCAGGCATTTTTTGATTCCTTCAACCCTCACAGAAGCAACAGACCTCCACGCGAGCCGTGAAGATGTGGCCCTTCCTTTTCTGCCTTTCACAGGACCTTGCTTTGCCTGTTGGGGCTTCTTCCTGGTCGGTTGGTTCTTCACCTTCGCCTTCATTTCAGAGGTGGGGGTGTTCTTCACAAACGGACACGGGAGTTTTTTTGAGCAGCTTTGAGAGCTCTGCGGCACAGAAACACCTAAACCAACGTGCCACATGGAAGTGCTCCTCTCACCATCCTCGCCCAAACGCGGCCGCCGAGCTGCCGCTTTTTGTAGCACCTCAGGTGATGCGTCAGGGAACCGACATTTTTTCCTTCGAAGATCCGGCGGTGAAGACCAGCGTCCTCGTGCAGGCAAAACAAACGTCCGCGGATTGGTGTTGGGAGGTGAACAACGAGAACAGCTAAGCTGAGTGGCAATCATGACCATGTGTGTGTATGTGTGTGTGTGTGTGTGTGTCACCCTTGGAGTCATAGGGATGCTTTTGCATTTGTTTTACTGCAGGGGGACACAGCATTTCACTGGGACTGTGTCCAACGAAGCTACCAGTGAAATGGGATATCCAGCTTGGCCAGCTGGACGTACCTGCGAATTTTCCTTCCTTTCTGCATGGCATGAGGCTAAGCCAAGAACCTCACTCGGCAGACAAGTACGATCGTCGTCACTCTGTCGTTTCGTCGTCGCCTTGAGACTTTGGCCTCTTTTCCTTTTAAGACCTCCAGGCTCCGATGGTCCTTACTGGTACTCTTAGGAAATGGAACCCTAGGCCGGCGTGATTCAGTTCCGTACACAATATCTCAAGTGTATGTGTGTTTTTGGAGAGCAGGACTGTTTGATGTCCAAATTATGACCAAAACCGTTGTTTTTTCACGATTTCCACCCGTGGAACATAGGTTGCAAGAAAAGGATCTTGGGTCGCTCCTTGTGGTTTGGCTGGAGCAAAGAAAGCCCCTTGCTTGTCTCTCCAGCTTGGCACTTCTCACTATGGATGTTTGGTTCTTTCTCTGCATGTTTATGTTGCACTGGAGATTCGCAAATAGATTGTGTCAATGTGACAGCCGCATCTCGCAAGAAACTACTAGTAACAAGGGCATCGCTACTAGTAAAAGGGGCATTACTAAGAACAAGAAGCTACTAGTAGCAAGGGGTACTAGATTATTGTTTTGATTGCGTGGGGTGAGTTTATTCCAACGGTTGTGATTGCACGTGGCTTCGCATTTTCGGTCACGACGCAACATTGTGAAAGTGCGGCTCAGGGCATATGATTGCTGTGCGTGTATCTTGCCTTTTTCTTTCATTGACTTGAAAAGCACGTGACCCATTCTCGCGGGGTGGTGACTGCCTGTTCGCATCAGAATTCGGTGATCGGAAAGGATCCCAAAATCGATGTCGCCACTCCGGTTCGTTCGCCATGGTGGAGCAAAAGGCTTGCCATTCGTTTCGTTTCGTTTCGTTCCGTTTCGCCAATATCCAAACTTGGCTGAAAGGAATACTACGGATTGCAAGCAGCTCTGGGTGAACGTCCGGGCTGCCGAGATAGTGCCCACAAAACCGAGGTGCCTGGGGTCGAGGGTCGCCTTGTAAAAGATCGAGAGTAGCACTTCGGGTCGATCTCTTGGAAATCCTTTGTCTGGGAGGACTCGTCTTCCCAGACATTGGTAGACATGGACCTACTTGCTGTAGCACTTCTCTTGATCCACTCAGAACTCACCTTGATCATCCACAACCCAAGCAGGTCTGGTCTAGTCTCGCACTGGAAGAGTTTCATAAGACAAAGGCTCAGACGCGAATGCACTTGATTGAAACATCGCTCAGTGGACCTGGTGCAGATGCACCTCATGTGAAAACTTGAAAAGGTGAAGGTCGCGGGCTCACGTGTCTTTTTGCTTTAGAGGAAGCCGGGGAAGAACGGATCTTCAAGTATCCAACTTCAAAAAGTTGTAAATAGGTATATACAGTAAATTAGTATCTCTTTTGAAACATGTCTTGTCTCTTCATTTTTAAATATCTGAATTGTACACCCGCTGCCAGGAGGCCTGCACTGCGGATGTGAATTGCGTGTGGGAGAGGCGGGGTCCGGATGGACAGACCCACCTCCAAAGGGATTTCAAGGGTATTGAATGGTTGGGTTCATCACCCTTGAGGGATTCCAAGGTATTGTAAATGGTTTCAAAGGTATTTTAAATGGTTTCATCACCCCCTAAGGGTTTGCGGAAGGGTGATGTGCATGCCAACATTTTTGGCTCCATTCAAAGAGAATACAACCTGTGAGGTGAATTTAGGACGTTTGGTTGAAGATGCTTTGCAAGATTCTGGGACCTTGGATGACTTGAAGAAGTCTGACTCAAGACTTACCCTCCTAGATCCCCACAGCATCCACTGTATATAGAATCCTACCATTGCCCAGAGGCCAAACTGGCACACTAGCAGGTCTTCTTCACCCTTTAACCAACCTGGGTGCATTTTTCTGGGAAACCCCTGCAGTCCTTCATGGGTCCGAATGTAGCGTCCTTCCTGACACCACCCTTTCCTGGCTCGCTGTGAACGACCAAATCGTCCACACCGCCGCCACCGCTGCGCACCTGCGGCGCCAGTTCACCTCGCGGCGGGGGCCGCTGCGAAGACAAGGAATGCCCTGGCGAGCCGCCGAAGCCCCGACAGGCGACCGTGTGAAGCGTCGAAGGTGAGAAGTCGAGGTGTGACGTGGGTTCGAAGTCGAGGGAAGTCGTTTCTGAGGGGAATCACTTGTTTTCATGAGGGGTCTGGTGTGGAAATGGATCTTGATTGCTTCGGAAGAACCATCAAGAAGCACAGGACCTGGGGTTCCTAAAAGGAACATTCACCGGACCAGGTCAGATTTACCCAACATTTCCAGGGAGTTTTGGACATCCGAAGAATCACTTGGGTCTCTACCCAAGTCTTTTGACATGCTTTGCCTTTCCGATGACTATCGGGTTGACCTTGAACAGACAAGGGCTGTTCCTGTAGCCACAAAGTCGGTCACGGGGCACCTGAGAAACCTCCCCAAGAACCACCGATGATGCTGCGGGCCCCGAAACGATCACGCATCCAGAGGTCAAGAAGGGCCACACCATGTGTGGATTAATTTTATTCCTGGCCAGATCCAGCAGTTTGGGAACTGTTGGTGAGTTCCAGCTATTGGTGCAGAAGCCTAATTTGGTTTGCACCACACTTCTCAGAACACATCGGCAGTTTCCCAGCATTTCTATCGCGGACGCAGGCACCCTTGTATTTGGATTTCCTGCCGGCCTTTATCAGCGTGATTTACGAGGCGTGCGCGCCTGTCTCTGAAGATTTATTCGAAGGAAGCAGTCCATTTTGGAGACATCATGATTGAAGCGTATTGACTTTTGTCTAGGAAGTGCAGCTGATGGACCAAACCCAGCAGCAGCAGCGTTTGATGTTGAAAGTCTGCACATTAGCACATCATTAGAGAACATACTTTGTGAGAACATCCTCCCCTGGTGATTTTTTCCGCTGGGAGATGAAACATCGGTGGCCGACCGCCAGGCCCAAGGGGAGAACGCCAACATCTTGGATGACGATGTGCTCCAGGTCATCATGGACTACGAACGGGAGCTGTTCACCGACGTGGGCGGCGCTGAATTAAACTACAACAATGAGAAGCGCCCCTCGCCGTGGAATGAAGACTGGTGCCTGATGAGCTATCCGCAGTTGCCGATGGGAAGCCCGAAATGCGCTTCGGGAGTTGGGCCTGCACACATGTTCAGCATGAATGCGGATGGGAGGGCAGCCACCAAGCAGCAGATTTTGGATGGTCACTCCTTCTTGGGTGGTGGGGCCCTGGCCTGTATGTGTGGGGATTCCGACACCTGCACCATTTGCAATGAAGACGGAACAGTGAAGGGCCTCGCAGGCGTCAACCCAATGACCCTCATGTCCAATTTCTCTGCCGCCCTGGCTGTCTTGTCGCAATGGCCCACATCAGTGTCCACCTGTATCTTGAACTTTGCAACCAACTTGGAAAACACCATGGCAACCATGACGACCACGACGACCACCACGACCACCACGACTTCTGTGGATCCCTTCTTAGCGACCTGCGCTGCTGATGCTCCTCGGGGACCTGCAATGGATCTTTCCAACACCCAAGCCTATCTGGGAGGAGTCTTTGCCATGGTGACAGCACAGTGCGCCAGCGGCAACAGCTGCATGTTGTCTCCACCGGGCACCAGCGCAGTGTGTGCCTCCAGCGCCTACTACCCCGCGACCGATGCAACGGGGTTGGTGAACGCAGAGGAAAAATCCAAGATCCTTGAGAACTTGTGCAATCCCAGTCTGCCGCTGTGGTTCAATGCGAAGAACACCTTCTTGCCTACCTCCTTTGATTGCGAGGCCAAGACCAGCAAGTATGCGCTCTCCCGCTTCTTTGCAGGCCATCCTTGGCGACATTTTCGGCGCCACAAAGCGTTTGCGGAGACATTTTTAAGCTAAATAGGATGTGTAGGATTTGATGGCGCTATGTCACTCAGTTTGGACTCTTGGATTCTTTGGTTGGCTGGAACACAGGTGCTCCATCTGAAAACCAAGAAGAGGAGGCGAAGAAGTTCCGCGAGGGCTATGTGGAGGCCAGGATTTGAGATTGGATGTCAGTTGTGTTGCCCAAAGCCTGAATGTGTGGCTGGGAACGTCGTGTTACCAAAGCACGGAGGTTTTGGTGAAGGCAGTGAAGGCAGGGGTTCTTGTGCTGAGGCGGAAGCTCCTTCAATTGGTGAACCATTCCGAAGTTTGGAGGGCCTTGAGACATTTTTGTAGAACCATCCTGCTCTTCAATCTGTTTAGTTTCAGCCCGAGCGACATGGAGCTACAGAGATGCTGAAATTCCGAAGTGCTTTATTGGTGGATACAGTTTCTTTGTTTGCTACAAAAATAATCCATCCCTCCGCCTCCAACCCCTCACCACTTGGGATTCTCTCCAAGCGATCCCCATTGAAAAGGCCTTTTATGTGTAAAGCAGACGAATCCACACCCTAAACCCTCGCTTGGTTCGCTTCAGATGGTTCGCTTCAGGTGCGAGGCGGATGGTTCGCCAAAGCAGCACAGCTGGAAGCGAAGTACGAGCGAACGCATGGGACGAAGCTGAGGATCATGCTCTTCTCCGGTGCCACGCTGCTCGGAGCTGAACGCCTCGCGGCGCGCCGCTGAACCGTACGCGGGGGGGAGGGTGGAGCGCGGCTTCGCGGTGGGCGAAGTTTTTGGGTGAAAGGACCCCACAAAGGGAGGGTCAGTTGGTGGACGAGTCCATGTCAGTCCTTCAAGTCCACGACGAGGGCAGTTATTTGCAGCGCGCTGGCATTGGCGGCCCACCTTTTCGGCTGAGGCTCATTGCTCAATACCTGCAGATCTTGGCCATCGATGGTTTCTTATCGCTTGGATCGCTGATCTCAGTTTGGGCTTACATGTGGTTGATGCTGGAAAGCACCTCGGCCGGGCGGTTACAGAGGGTCTCAGATCTCTGCCGGTGTCCTGTGTGAGAGGAAGGGACAACAACACGGGCACTTGCGAAGACAAGAACATCTCCCGAACTGTTTTTGGTCCTGTCCATATCGTGTTGTTGTTACAATGCCATCCGTGAGAATGTTGGATCCACCGTAAATTCCCTTTGTTCCCAGGTCATTGCTAGCGTTCCTAGTATATGTATATTTATATAGAGACAATTTTTTTGAAATGCGTAGTTCCTGTATGTCCTGAAAGAAGTCCTTTGTGAACACCACAGGCCGACACTATCTGACTATCTGAGGCGTCTTCTTGGCATCGTGTGGCATGTTCGAGATTGTCTTCTCGCTGCCCGTGGGCATGTCGCTCTGGGTGATCATCTTAAGGCAGAAGGTCTTCTGGTATCAGATGCTGGTCCCTTGCGCTGCAAGCAGCACCCCAAGAGAGGAGGGAGGGAGGGAGGGAGGGACGGAGGGACGGAGGGACGGAGGGACGGAGGGACGGAGGGAGGGAGGGAGGGAGGGAGGGGAGGGAGGGAGGGAGAGAGAGAGAGGGAGGGAGGGAGGGGAGGGAGGGAGGGAGAGAGAGAGAGAACACATTGATAGAGCGGTCATGAGCTAAAGCTTGAGTGGCATGTCTCCGCTTCTCTCGTTCGGACTGGAGCCAGTGTCTGGACCGTTCGTTTCTGGCCAGTGCCTTTTCTACACTCGACCTCTTTAATTTGGACCTCAGGTCATTTACATGATCTTGGGCATTGGCGCGGATGATGTCTTCATCCTGTATGATGCCTGGCTTCAAAGTGAACATGTGGAGGGCATCAAGGAGAGCAAATCCCAACGCTTTGTCTGGGCCTACCGACGCTCAGCCATGGCCATGCCGCTTGGAGTCAAGACGGATTGGGGCTTCGAGGTGCGAGCAGGGGAGAAGGAGTGGTCAATAGAGAACCTCTGTAGAACCTTTGTAGAACCTGGTCATAATGACCAACCCTCCTCCTTGGGGGGGCACCGTACATCAAGTGTTTGGGATGGACTTGTGGCCTTGCTGCTCTCAAAGAACTCTTTTCACCGGGCGCTTTGGTTTAAGTGACATGCCATGCTTCACAAAGATTGAAAGAGCCATCTTGACGACTGTTATGGGGATTGGACTTCTACACCTTCTTTGGTGCCTCTTACCCATGGGTATGAGGAGGCCACTTTGATCTGCTGATCCAATCTATCAAGGGTTTGTATGTATAGCCACTTCGAGGTGCGACCTCTTCTGAATCTAAAGACCTTGGACCTAAATGGGGAACTTGCTCTCTTTCGGAACCACCTTGTCCTAACCCTAGCTGATGAAGGATGTAGAGACCATGGGGATTTAAACTTGTCCCAAATCAAGTCAACTGTCAACTGCCGTGTCCAGCAAGGGCTGCACCTTCTGCCCTTGTCATTGTCCCATGCGGATTCCAACAAAACCCTTCCTGGTGCCTTGCGGGCCGAGGTTGGTGACCACGTTGACCACCTGCGGCTCTTTCGTGATTGGCGCCACGTCGCCCTTGCCGCTGGTGCAGAGCTTCTGCATCTTCGCCGCAGTGGTGGTCTTGGTGGACTATTTGTGACCCGGCTCAAAATCTATGCCGTGGGAGAAGAGAATGGGGCGGTGTCGTGGAAAAACGATCAGAATCCAGATTCACCAGTTGAAGCCAGAGAGGCAAGAAGATAGCTAGGTTATATAGTTGCATGAATCTTTGTAAGTGTTGTCTTCCTAAAGCTTTAGATATTTGGTGGTCATTCGTCCTGGGGCCGCCTTCCAAGCTTCTCAAGTTGAAGGAACCTACAAGCTTTCAAACTTGCGGAGCTTCTTTTGATGCCAATGATGGGAGCGAACGTCAGGTTTTGCATCTCGTTCTTTGCCTCTGCGATCTTGGTCTATGCATCTTGGCAGGGAATGTTCACCATGCCCTTGAGGATTCCATGCAGGAAGGTTTCGTGTCAAGACTGACCTGGCCACAGGGGGCCCTCCAAGAATCTTCAGGTATCTTTTTTTTCCTATAGAATGAAGTTCTCGACTCTACCATCTTTGCAGTTTTTTTTTAATTTTTTCTCATCAGCAGTTTTGAGGGATGATCTGAAACAGCTTCACACAATCTGTTGAGAATCATTGGCCCAGGAGGAGTGGATGAAGGGCTATGGATGCTGCTGCAGTTGCTGTGGCCTTGAAGTTCGTGCACCTTGGCTGCCTTGGCTGAGATGGATTGGGCTGCATTGCTAGAATATGCTATTATTTTAGAAACAATTGAGATCTTTAGTTGCATCCGGCACTTCAGGTGACTAGGGCGATTCCAAACCTGCCAACCCAAATCCTTGGTTCTTTAATCGTCTCTTTTTCGCCTTCAATCTCTGTGGACTAGGCACCCGGCACCTGCTTGGGCCCGGGCTGCTGCTGGGGTGGCATCCGTAGCTGCTTCACCTGCTGCGGCCTCTTGGTGAAGTTGGGAAAGCCGAAAGGTGTTTCTTGAACGCGAAGATCTGGCAGCCTTTTCAGAATTGACTCCACCAACAAAGCCTTACCACTAAACTGGCTCCAAACCGGTTTGGGTCGCTCAGGCAGATCGTGGCGGCTCATGCCGAAGCCACCGGCGCCGGGGGCTCCGCCCGAGAAGAGGGCCATGGAGCGCTTCTTCAGCGGCCCTGTCTTCAGGTTCTACCAGAGGTACAAGATCCTCCTGATCGTCTTCTGGTTGGTGCCTGGGATCTGGTGAACATGTCTTGTTGATGGCCTGTGACTCTTTTTCTCTCAAGGTCAAAACACCTTGCGTGGGCGAAGACGCGAGGGTCGAGTCGGAAGTTCGGTTGGGGCCAACCCCCCAGGTTTGCTAAAAGCCGACGGCCATAGTAAAAAACCACTTCTGCCTCCCCGACCGACCAGACGGCCTGGTTTGGACATCCCCACATTATCCAAGGTAGTCGTGGTGTCCATGTCCGCTTGCGCCGGTGCCTTGCTGCGAACCGCCAAGAAGCAGGTGCAACGAACGGCTGCAACGGGGAGATATTGGGGAGACCTTTGTTTTATAAACTTTATACACCTAGAAGCGATGGCCTCCAACCTACAAGCAATGTTTCATAAGGACCAAAGGCGTATCGAAACTGGTGGGTACTCTGTGGGAATTCTCCGCATAGGCATAAGTGCTATCCATCCACTTTTGACACGTTCTATGTTGGGACCATCCTCCCAGAAACAGGATGTGTCTACCAGGACCTTCCAAGCCCGGTCGGTAGTTTGACACCCAAGACACCTCTCAGAGGCCATTAATTAGACACCTCAGAGGGAGGTCCTGGTAGTACATCGTGTGGATGACCGATGGGTCCACAGTGGACGTCCCCAGTCCAACGGACATGGTGTGGCTGTGGATCATGGCACCAGACTGACCGTTTGAACTACCTGGGAGGTCAACCTACCTACCAGAATACTAGACTTGGTGGGGCAAGAAATCTGGGTACCAGAAGGATTTTGGAAGGTCTGCCGCTATCTGCAGCTCCTCCTGCCATCTGCACCTTCACGTGGACAGATAGATTCTTGGTGAAGTTGTGCTTGGAGAGAGCACTTCTACAGTCGTCACTGAGGTGAAATTCTTCCCCCCAAAGCGGCCAGTCCAGGGAGTTTGGATCCGGACGTTCGCTGCAGCCAGGCGCCCATTGGTCGTGAGAACATCGATGTGATCAAGGGCTCCGAGGCACTTGGAGAGAGGGAGACACTTCCTGGAACCAAGATGGAAGCGGATGGCATGGCCCCTTGGAAGACAACTTTTTTCCTTTACAAGCAGGGGTTTTCCACTTTCATGTTAGTTCCAGGGAGTGTAAGTCCACTTGAAGAAAAGAACACATCAAAAGGATCATGGGCGAATTCTTTTTTTCCCCCACGCCGAGGCAGCGCACGTTCATTACCTACCTAGACAAGTGCAAACTAGACATGGGAGAGGACACAAATCAGTGTAAAGCACTTGCCCTGTTCTTTTCACATAAGGAGCACTGGCCGAATTCCCAAAGAACCCGTGAAGCTCCAAATTTGTGGTGCGGTGTTCCCTTCTGCCGGGAGCCCTCCCAGAATCGGTTCAGGGGTGGTACAAAGAGATCTCATAGATCCAAACAACTTGGTTAGGAAACTACCTATTACTGATTTCTGAGTGAGATTGCAGGTCTCCAAAGGTCCTTCCAAGTACCTCCTTCATTCATTGGGCTCAAGCCATTTGGGCGGCGGACATGACATCGCCGTGACGAAGGACTGAAGGGTGCAGGACTGAATGGTGTCAAGCCAATGGCGGTTTCAGAGAAACCTGTGGATCGCCAGTTTGCTTGCACTGGTCTCTGGCTATGTTGATGTGGTGAGCCTGCTTCGCTATCAGGCTTTCACGCACCTCATCACCGGGAATGCTGTCTTCCTTGGATGTGTGGCCATGCGCCCCCTGTCTTTCTCGGACGACACGGTCCTCGGTCTGCCATTGCAAAGCCCCTTTTTCTACGTGGCACTCTGGGGATCCTACGCGTTGGGTGCCTTCGCGCAGTGGTGCTGTGACCTCCGTTGGCCCCAGCGGGGGGGCAGCGTGGCGGCGCTTCCGTTGGCAGCCATGTTGATGTGCACGGAGGCGAGAATGGGGGGGGGCGTTTACTGTCGTTTGTGAAGATCTTTCGACCAGTCCCATGTCGCTTGCGTTAGATTTGTGATGTAGTTAGATTTGAATACCTGAACCCTCTAAGTTGTGGATCGCGCTGTGAAGAAAAAGCATGCTTTGCGGTGCGAAAGAAATGGCCCTTTCGAGCGTTGTCCAGCGATGAGGTGATGTATGTTGTCATTGGCTGTGATGATATGAGCTGCCTGCGCTGGACTCTGGTCCCTCTAGCCGCCTTTTCCGGTGTGATTGCAGCTGCCTGTAGCATTGGTCGGATGGGTGTCCGAACGACCATGGTCGCTGGGCATACACTCACTCTGGCTCAATTGCTGGCCAAGTTGCTTTGGGAGCATACCTTGCTGAGGGAAGACATGCGAAAGTTCCTGATGAGCTTGATGGTGATAGCTGGAGCTTTGGGTGGAGCTTGCCTAGGCACACTTGCCTTTTGGCATGTGCATCATCAACAGGGGATGAAGAGCAACATTCTCTTTTTCCCCATCCCTGCTTTGCTTTACATGCTGATGTGGCTACATGACCACCTGACCCCGCGTGGCCGCGTGCGAACGAAGCGGCTTGGGGAAACCACCGAGGGAGCGGGTAGACCCGAGGCCTCGGGCAGGGCTGAAACGGCGGATGTGGAGGCGGCCACCGAAGAGCTGCACAGCTGAAGCCTTGGGGAGCTGCAGCAGAGTTTTGGACGTTTGGCTTGAAAAGTCCAGCTGTATTGGTAGTTATTGGTAGTCTTTGGTAGTGGCGTATGTACAGAGAGGCGAGAGGGTGTCTCAAAGATGGAGCCACCAGTGACTTGGGCAGTTGGCCGAAGTTCAAGAAAAAGTCTTCAAGTTGTTGTGATAGAGGCAGGGGAAGTCATAGATATCAAGTCTTCAATCGCTCCGCTCCACGTACGTCATGGTGACATCTTACACCAAAACGGCGAGAGGGAGTGCAGTTTGGGCCCAAAGTTGCAAGATCGAAATTCATGATCCTCCATTGCTGTGACCACCAAAAGCAGGATGTGTGTCTTTGCTTCAAATCCGGGACCAATGGTCAATCATGGGTCGGTTCTTTGAACTTCCTTGCGAATAGGCAGAGATTCTTCCCTGTGGGATTCCCCTGATGTTTACACAAAGAACTCTGCCAGTTCCCATGACACAAACCCTCAAAAAGACTCTTCACCACCTCTCATCCTCCGCATCCTCGGCAAGAAGCCCCAAGCTATCTGCTCCTTTCGATTGGCAGATCCTCTTCTCCGAGTTTGAGTTCAGCCCAACCCCGGAGACCGTCTCCATTGGTTTCGGCATCGACGAGGTCGGTGGGCGACCGAGCGCAGGTGTCGGTGTCGTTGTTGGCACCATGAGCAATTGAGAGCAGATCCCCAGGGGCAGAGTAGGGGCGGGGTGGGCGGGGTGGACGTGGCCAAGATCAGCCGTGCCGGTGGCATGCTTCCTTTGAAATGTCACCACTTGTAAGTCGAGAAGATCGCCACATGGTCCAACCTCTAGGCTGATCCGGTGACGTGGGGTGCCACCAACAACGAGAACGACGCCAACTACGGTGGCGTGAGCGCGATCAACCTCAAGAAGCCGGAACAGCAGAAGGTGGGGGTTGGGAGGGTTGCTGATGGCTGGCGGGCTTCGGATGGTTCGGGCTTTTAGGCGAGTTTAGGGTTGGGCGTACTCTGGGTAGTGGCCGTGCCCAGGTCTTCAGGATCTGGCAGGAGTTTCCCGTACAAGCAATGTTTTTTCAGGAAGGTGCTCTTCCAACCCACCTGCGGCTGCATGATCCGAACATGTTCCAACCCACAAATCTGGCTACTCGGTGCTTTGGGATTCATCCAGTGGAGTGGTCATTTGGTGAATGTGCTACAGATGAGAGACACCCCTGTAGATGAACATCTAAGGATCTTGGATTTGCATTCATTTCAAGACCAAAGCATTTTTTGGTAGAGAAGGTATAGACAGGCACTTGAGAGACTTGCTGAATTCTCAGCTCGTTTGGATGACAGAGACAGTGGTGGTTTGCAGTGGCAGGTGTTTCTTTTGTGCTGGATGCTCGGTGCTTTCTTTTCCCGGTGACTGTGGTGACGATTCTGGTTATAGAACCCACTTCAACCCCATGGGGGGAAGTCTGAGCCCACATGTTCCTTCATAACGATTTCTGTCACCAGCAGCTTATGTCATAACCATGTTGGCAGACATCGGAGCTTCTTTTCTCTCACAATTTCTGAGGAACCCCTCAACTCTGTAGATGCCCCCCCTCAACTCCCACCGGGCCCACTCCGAAACCGCGCTTGGCTCGAAGGAGCTCTTGGCGCTCTGCGCGGCGCCTGACCTGGGGCAAGACGCCGCGGACACGCGCTGCTCCACGCGCGCCTGCCTGGTGCGTGGCTCGCCGCTGAACATCACCTGCGCGGCCCAAGCGAAAGCCTGGGAGTTGCACGGCATCTACGTGAGGGACCCGACCCAGCGAGTTGTAGACCCAGGGAGTCGTCGAAACAGTCATCGAAGCGAGAACCGTTTGGTCGAAGTCATGGCGAGTTGGATTCGTCCAACCTTGCTGTTCCATGACTGTGTGTGCAAAGTAGGATGGGTTCACTTGTCACCTTAGCAAGTTTGGCAAGGTTTCTTGGATCGTGAAACGGCGCGAGCACGAGCAAAACGACCAACTGGTCTTGTCCCGCAGGATTCCGAGACCTGTGTGACCGGGCGATATTGTTGGATGGAGGACTTCAAGTACTTCTGGGCGCACAAGCAAGGAGCGGGACTCGGAGCGGTGGTTTTCGTGTTGGGGCCTGGTGGAGTTGGCGAGGTTTCGCGGTCGGCGGTACGCAAGGTGCTAGGCTTGGGACGTTCTGTATCTAAACATTCGGTGGCCTTCCAATGAGCTGGTGCGATGGCAAATCCAGCCGGTTTCTTGAAAAAGACGCCTATATACCCGTGGCCGGGTGGCTGTGCTCAAAGTGCAGAGAAGCGAAGTAGCCGATGTTTCGATTGGGACTCATGAAGTTTTCAGATCTTCAAGATGCAGACATGGGCCGTGCCCTGAGATTTGGAAAGATGCAGATGCATGGAGATGTTGGAGACACCTCACGGTGTTTTCAGCCATCCTGAAGGCGATAGGACCTATAGGATGTGGAGAGGCGAAAACCAGGTCGAAGGCAGAATTGACCAGGAATAAGATGGTGGTGAGATGATCGGTCTATTCCAGGGTGCATCTACCTTTGCGTTCTTCCCACGGCAGGCAACAACTGCCAGGGCCGGCACAGTGATATGACCAGTTGCGCTGGAGACACAGGGTGCACTTGGTCGACAGAGAATTCAGTTTGTTCCTTGTCACAGATTGGGATGTGACTGTGTCCCCCAAATAGGGTTGACAATGGCCGAGCAAAACAAGAAGTTCCGACTACTTGGTTGTTTCAGATTTGTTCCTGGTTAAACGAGTGAGGGACATGTTCCTCCGAAGGGGTGCGAAAAAGCTTTGAGGTCTCAAACAGACACACCCATCTTTGAGGGTATCATAAACAAAAGAGTGGAGAAGTTTACACCGTCTCTACGAACATGTTGAGGAACACCTCGGAACTTTTGGCACTCGAAGAAACACCCGGAGTGACTCCTGTCTTATGGGGGGTGGTGGGTGCGATGGTGAAGATGTTCCATGGTCAGCAATTGGATGGCCAGAGAGGTCACTCCTTGATTGTGGCAGATGATAAGTCGATGACTGGATGGTCTGTTTGGTCTTCCCAACATGCGAGCGATCCCTTGGTGGGGCTGGGTCAGACCTTCCTGTTGCCCCAGGTTACTCGGCGACCAGCCCCAGCAGCTACCCAGTGGACGGCATCCCAGAGACCGAGTTCCTGACGCTGCTGAGCACCATGCAGCTGCGCCTGAAGTGAGATGGAGGATGGAAAGGATGGAGGATAGGATGGGGGTGGCATGAGAAGGCATGAGGCTAGGGTGAACTGAGCAGAGCGAAAAGGTTTTGGCCGTTTAGGACTAAGTCTTTGTTTCGAGCTGCTGGAATAGGAAGAGGATCTGAGATGAAAGCCACTCCGAAAGCTGCCTGGTTGCTCAAGGCTGCCATTTGTGTGGAGCATTGCTGTGGAAAGTCGGAAAAGTCAGGTGGAGGCCTTTTGCGACATCATGCAGAGACATTCTGCCATATTGTAGTTTGCTGTAGGAATGAATTCGAGGTACCATCAAGTCTTATCCGATGTAACGTAGACTCAATTGGAGATGGACGTCTGGATGACCCTAGCTGTTTGGTGAGTCAACGGCCATTCTTGGCGCTGGAACCTCAGGTCGACCGCGGACGCGTCCATGACCGAGTTTGAGCACTACATGGACGAGAAGTACAAGTACTTGCGAACCATCAATCGACGTTATGAAGCCGACTTCCACGGCAGGTACACCGGAGTTCGCATGAACGGGCTGAAGACCGAGGCGGGGTGAACCGGAAAAGGTCACCACACCGACTTGTTGGGAGGTTGACTTGCTCATGCGGAGGATGTTTCCTCCGGCTTTTCGGCCGGGTGAGGTGATGTTTGCGTGGATCAGCTTCAACGCCACCTTTCCCCGTGAGAACACCGTGGATGAGGCCGATTTGTGGTACAGCCGCTGGCAAACCTTCAAGGACCGAACAGTTGGAGGCGTCGAAGGGCGGACCGCAGAGTTGGAAGGAAGGTCTCATTGGAGGGTGAGCATTTGGAGGGATTTGAGTGAAAAGCCTTCCCCTCTTTCAGCCCATGAACGGCATGCCCTTTGTCACCTCGACTTGTTGAGTTTCCCTTAAACATCTAGGAACCAAATCATTAGTGCAAGCGCTTAGGGCGGGGAGAGCTTCCTTGAAGAAGCGTGAGCTGTCCTGCGTCCAGTTCCTAGTAGGCGTCTTCGTAGCTAGAAGCCAGCGGTCGAAAAAGAAAGACAAACAATATTTAATATGCCCAAGAAAAATCCCCAACAACTGGCAGCTGGGCATGAATTTGCGGACTAAGCAATCGCAACGCATGGCAAGCGTCAGTGAATTTGCAACAAGTGGTGTGTGTTTGTTAGCCACGCGCGCATAATAAGGTGCCCACATATGCGCAGGCACGACAACACCGCAACAATCATAAGCCGGGAAACCTCTGCCGGAAGCGGCTTTGGAGCCCGCCTGCAAGTGTGCGCGACAGCATGATCCAATTTCTGCATCGCAGCGTGACAGCATGTTAGCATGTTTGCGTCCCACGCTAGAATGAAAATATGTCAGCGTGACTCAACATGACAGCCTGACAACTTGTCGGCATACACCGCGCCGGCACATCAGCCTAAACATATGAATCATGTCAGCGTGTCTAAATTGAACGTCTGCGACACCTTAAAGCCTTAGAGTGTCAGACATATAGCATGTTAGCAGGTTAGCAGAAATCACATGGTAGCATGACGGTGCGTCAACATGTCAGCTTGACAACAGGCCAGCATCATGACGCATCAGTGCTACATAGCGGCATCTCCTCATATCTGCAAAGCACCCGGAATTTGTGGGAAGCCGCTCCCAAACTCAAAATATTCCACCACAACCTGCACGGGAATTTCCTCGGATTTGCTCCGAAGTCTTTACCATGATGAACATGCTTAAAAACACCTTGTTTCGATTGGAGAGCTCTCAGTTTTCGAGGAGACCCATGCCCCCACGCTGGGTGGCTTCCAGACCACCGACTTGTACCTCTTTCTGGTGACGCAGAGGGAGATGGTCAAGGTGCTTATATAAATCTTTTTGAGAGAAAGACAAACAACAACAAAAAACGTGTTTGTTTTTACATTTGTTATTTGTTATCTTTTGTTATCTGCTTTCCTTTTTCACATGAGATCCGTTTTGTCTCGCTCCTCTCATCAAGCACATTGGAACCTCATATTAGCATGGCCACTGATCTCTCATAGCTCATATTTATGTATATATTATATATCGTTCCTTGTAACTCTCACAGGACATGGCCTGATACGTGCGTTCTCAGCACCTTTCCATCGATCCGTTTGCCCTCTCAGGCGGCCACCATGGGCATCGGCCTCTCCTTGTTGGTGGCCTTCTTGGTCCTCTTGGCCACAACCTGCAACTGGTGGTCCTCCAGCCTCGGCCTCGTCTGCCCGGGCTCCCAAAACCACCGGGCCGAAGTAGGTGGCCCGGGTCCCCGCAAGGGGGCGCTAAGTCTTGTTGGGGGGATTTGGCCTGCGCAACGAAGTCAGAAGATGTCAGAAAGAGGCCGTGTTTTGGAGGTACGAACATTCCAGTGGGCCATGAATGGCCAAGGGTGGCTAGGACAGGAAGTGGGTTAATGGATTGTTGAACCTCTGAGCGTTGATGGCTGTGATTTCCTTCCGCAGCCAAGATGAAAACAGAAAAAGACCTCCACAGTTCGATGTCCCCAAAAGGGAAGATCGACTAAGGCCTATTATTGCTCCGAGTAGTGGGTCCTCTTGGCTTGAACTCATCCATTTTGGCATTTGTGAATCGAGGTATCATTTGCATCACCGCCACGTTCTTGGGCGTGGTTCCTCTCTTGGGATGGAGCCGCCTGGCAGATCTCCCAACCAGTCCGACCAAAGCAGCAATCGGAACTGGAGGTTGATGGACGGAAAGTGGCTTTCTGATGTAGGATTGTTTTAGCAGCTAATCCAGGATCGGCTGGGACCAGCCATGTACACCAGCGCTATTTTGGGTATTTTGGTCGGGTTGAACAGGGTGTACCCAATTCTTGCGTCAGCACAGAGGCCTTTCAAAGGAATTGTTCCCCAACATTCCACGATAGTATTTGGAGCGACTACTATGCATGTATATGGTCTTTGCTTGCTTGCTTGCTTGCTTGCTTGCTTGCTTGATTGATTGATTGATTGATTGATTGATTGATTGATGCATACTAACAACTTGGAGACCAAACAAAATACCAATGTCTGGCAGGGGATTTACTAGTTCTGAGCTTCCCTCCCCGTCGTAGGACACTCTTCTTGGATCCTGATCTGCCAATTCTGAGTTGGAGAAGAATAGAGACAACCAACTGCATGGGAGTTAGAACTCCTTGAGTATGCCCAGAAATGTCCAGCCTTGTTGTGGAGACCACAGTACATTATCGGTGTTTCCTCTATTCACTCTGGCATTGGGCGTGTTTGTGTTCGCCAATGGCAGACACACCAAGCAGCTGCGTGACTGGGCTGTTGTTCTGCCTTCTGCCAGCACTGCAACCACTGCGCCTAAGCCATCGGCCATCCGCCATCCGCCGATCCGAAAAGACACTCCCAAACGACCCGATCTTCTCAAAGGCTTGGGCGAGAACGAGTGTATCTTCATGATTGCCACTGTCGGCCTTTCCGTGGACTACACGGTGCGCACGGATGCGGAGACCGAACGGATGCGAACGGGAGGACTCGGTTCGGGGCATCGGAGTGTAGCCCAACATGAAGGAGCTAAGGAAGTGGGAGAGTGAGAGATGCAGGCTGTTCTTGTTGGACCGCGAAGGATTCAAAGGCTCTCTCTCTCTCTCTATATATATATATATTTGTTTTTTGTTTTTAATCTATTTCACTTTTTTGTTATATTTTTTTCAGGCGATCAGCTGTGAATGCAATTGCATGCTTTCTGTGAGTTAGAACAGCTAAGTGGCTGATCTTGACCCGCATCGTAAGTTGATGCCCGTCAGATCGGTCCCATTAGGCCGCGGCCCGGGCTCCCGCGGCCGAAGGTGGCCATGAATTCTCTTCAGTCAAGAGAACTCCAAACACTTTCCTAGTAGCGTTCTTGTTCCTAGTAGTAGGGCCAGGAGCCCCTGGTAGCGCCCTTGCTCCGTTCGTAGCGATGCCAGGAGCCCCGAACGTAGCTTCTTGTTCCCAATTTCTTTCGATTTTGCGGGAACGGACACCTGCGAAAGGAACATCGAGATACTCCATGTCCTGCATCATCTGGACTGCCCAAAACGTCCAAACGGAAAGTACTCGCTGTGATTTTCCAGTGGATTCCAGTGGAACAAACTGACAAACACGACCAACGGTCTTCCACAAGAGAGGGCAGGGGAAGAATCCCACCCTCTACCCCCTACTTCTCCTTTGAATCTGTGGTTATGAAATGGGATGCCCAGCGCGTCGGGCCTTTTCAACCTTGAGCCAAAGTAAGACGAAAACACTCGTAGCGCTTGGCTTTCTACGAGGTGTGGTTGTACACTTTTTGATTTGTGCACTTCATGAATCACACTCCCCCTGGCTTGGTTCAAGCCACTGAGAGCTAATCATCTGACTCGCTTGAGTCTTCACGAACCCTTGAGGTTCCAGAAAAACCGCGACGCGGCTCCCAAGGGTCATTTGACCTGGGCCTCACTGGCATCTGCGTAGACACCCCCACCCAAGTTGGCGTCTCCTGATCTTGGTCCTCAGCTGGTGGTAGTACAGGATCCGGTCCTCTGTAGATTTCTCGATTCGGGGGTGCCAAGTTGCTTCGCACCACCCTCCACCCTTGAGCGGTCATCTCGTCCAAGGTTGGCGGTTCTTCATCCTCACTGGCCAGAGTTCTCCTCCAGTCAGGTCTTTCTGCACTGCTCGACTCACTCTCCACCGGCCGGTTCTCCACAGGGGACCCCGCATCAACGGTCAAGTCCCGCATGAACGCCAGCCAATCATCCCGTACATCATCCTCCAGCGTGGTTCCATCATGTCCTCCAGGTCCTTGTGCCCAATAGGCAGGGTCATAATCCCACCCTCGATCCATCTCTTCACTCACCAAGGAAAGCTCTCGGGAATCTCCAGACGTCCCCGATCCTTCAACTTCTCCTCGCTGTTGATGGCCATGAAGCCGCTGCCCATAGCCTCCAATGCCACTGCTACTTGCTCCCTCATTCACCCTTGTGCTGAGTTCCGAACCAGATTCCACCGGATTCGGGTCCTGTCCTTGACGATCTGGTCGGACATCTCGAGGCACTCCTTCCATCTCTGGACCATGTTCCGCAATGCCCGGCATTGGCGGTGGTCCGGAGGTCAGTGAACCGCTCATCGAGGAAGACGTCCTATCGCCCTGTCCTCTGGTAGTTGATGAACTGGAGGTCGAAGTCAAAGTCCCCGCCGTTGGGTCTGGATGAAGATCCCTGAAGAAGGTATATCCTACCCAGGGGTCCCTCATTGGTGGTTCCGTGTCTCTCCTCCATTCATCATCCCTGATCACCTTTTCCCCATGGCACCACAACACGGTGACTCTCCGATCTTGAATGTGGCTACAGTCCATAGGTGTGTGTCGATGAATTGGATGGAATGGTCTCATCCTCTGCTTCACATGATGTCTGACCCACCATCCCCCTTGGAAGTCGGTCCCATCGATCTTGACCCCTCGAAGGCATAGTGAACCTCCTCCACATCCAGGGTCGATCGTAGTCCACAACTGGAACCTCTCCAGTAGTCGTCGACGATGTCCCTCCGAGCCCTGTCGACGATCCCTCCCTCAGAGCAGCCAATCGTGCCCTCTTCGAGTTGCCGCCATGGCTCACATCTACCGCGTAATCCCGGGAGCCCTCAGGGCTAGGTTCACTAATGGGTTCCTCTTCCGACCCATCATCTCTACTGCAGGTGGGTTCATCTTCCCTCACCTGATCTTGAAGTCCATATGGTGGATCTGCATATTCATCTCTTATCGGCCCAGTGGCTCTCTTCTTAGAATCACAGCCGGCTCTCCAGCTGGTGGCCAAACTAGCTACCATCGCAGCTACGGCTAGGCTCTGAGCAGCCTTGCCCGTGGAACCTGACGGCCGCCAGGCCATCACGCCCGCCAACCCACCTACCAGAGCTGCAATCCTGGCCACTTTGGACCCTAGGCTCTCAGACACAGCTTCCACCACTGGTTTCATTCCCATGGCCTCGAAGAAGTGCTGCCATCTCGCAGCCACTCCGATCGGCTTCGTCAGGAAGTCAGCCACCAAATGCTGACCTGGGATATGGATCACCTTCCAAGCGCCCCACTTCACCCTCTCCCGCAGTGCATGGGCTCGAAGACGAAGGTGACGTGTCCTCCAAGGTCCATCCGGCGCTTCAAGGATTCGAAGACCAGCTTGGTTGTCTCCCCCCAAACGGCACTCTATTCCTATTCCATCTCCTGTTCCTTCCAGAACATTGGTCAAGGCCGCCAAGGAATCCCCCATGGTCATCGCTTCTGTGTAACCCAGCAGTTCAGCCTCCGCGCTCGACAGCGTGCAAAACGCTTGCTGCCTGGATTCCCATTGGACCGGCTCGCCCCCGTAGGTTCCAATCACGCCCTGACACCCTCTTCCAGAAGGAGGTCCAAACGATGCGTCTGACAAAACGTCCACCCTCATCGTGGGGCTGTAATGTTCCCCGGGGATTGAAGACCGTGCTCGTCCATAATGAAGCGACCATGCCAGTGTGGTTTTCAAATATCCCAACATGTGACTTCCATACTCCAAGACCCGCCTTGGTGTTCGGGTCACTTGTCTGCCCATCCAAGCCACTCCATAAGCCAGGCCAGGTCGGCTCCTCACTGACACCCACAGTAGTTCACCCACCACGGCCTGCGCCTTTCTCACGTCCTCCAACGTAACCTCCGCCTCCGGCTCTTCATCCGGCACCCCAGGAAAGGGCACTGTAGCAGGGGTCACTGAAGGATGCCTACTCAGGAGCTCTTGGATGTAAGCCTGTTGCCCCACATAGAGCCCACTGTCCTCCTCTGCGGAACTCCATCTAAACTTCGTCCATCTGTCGCTGTTGACCCACTCCGCTGGGCTGCACTTCCACTCCATCTCGATCCTGCTCAAGGCTCCCTTCACAATGTCCTTGGCACCAACGACAATGAAGTCATCCACATAGACCCCAATGAATCCCTTCGGAGGCGGTTCCTCCTGATCCAGTGGTCTTCTCTCAACAATCTTCCAAAGGTTAGGTTCTGGCGTCTCCCGAAGCTCCAATGTCCTCCCTTCATGTTGCCATTGAAAGGACCTCATCAGCCGGTTTCGATAGGTAGCCCAGTCCGCCGGCGAGGATCGAAGTCCATAGAGGGCGTGTTGAACCCGCCATAGTTCCTGAGGTCCCACAATGCTCGCCTCCACCAAAATGCGCGGCGGTTTCACCACCACCAATCGTCGACTGGAATCCTCCCTAGGTGCCAGAAGGAAAGCCGTCTTGACATCGCAAGTTGCGATTTCCCAGCTCATTGCCGCAGCTTTCCGAAGAAGGCATCGGATTGTTGTTCCGTCAGCTCCGCCAGCGTACAAGTTCTGGGACTCCTCCTTGCCTGAAGTTGCGGCTCCACTGCCATCCAGCGCTTCAAGCCGGTTACCACAGACCACAATGCGCGCTCGCTTCTTCCCATGTGGTGCCCTAATAGTTGGAACCAACATCCCAGGCGCCACCTCCATCGCCTCAAACAATGGATCCTTCTCCAACTCTTCCATAGTTGTCGGACTCAATGCCCGCGTTCCCTCAATCAATGACTGGTACTCATCCGTCATCGGGGGCACCCACGCCGCAAGCTCCTGTCGGACTCGTTGAAGAGGTACTGCATAGGTTTGCAACACCGCCGGAGGAGGAGCTCCAGGATCCTGCAGCTCCAATCCTGCTTCATTCTTCACCGCAGCCAACCTCACCGACTCCAGCTTACGATGTTGGTCCTCCAAATGATCTTCTTGTACCAGTAGTCCAGCCTCCAAAGCAGCCATCCATCGCCCTCTCTGACGGCCCTGCTCTTCTCCAATGGCCTGATGGCGCAACTCTTCACTCCACAACCTCTTCATGAGCAAGTGTGACCTCACCTCCATGGCGTGCCACTCCTCAGCTTGATCCCAAGAGCAGTTGGAGCCCTTCCATAGCCCTCCAGTCCGCCGCTCTCTGTAATGATCTACATACTCAAGGTTGCCACCACAGAAGCCACAGGAAATCTGTGTCGCCTCCACCAAGTCCAGCGTACCTTCCACCGCCGCTTGCATGGAGCTCATCACCACCCGCAGCCGCGAATGTCCCTTGGATCCTCAGTCGGGACTTGGTGGGGGTGCCGGGGTTGAAGGAGTCCACAATCTCCACAACACACCATCGCCAGCTCCCCAAGGCATTCCCAAGCTCTCCACCCCGACTGCTCTCCTTCCGACTCCGGCTCCATCTCATCGACCACCTCCTCGACATCCTCCTCATCGTCCACAAACTCCAGACCACCACCACTGAAGTCCCGCTCCAACTCCTCCAGGTAGTTCCTCAGCGGCCCGGAGACCTCCAACTCCACGCCAACCACCTCTTCTTCTCCATCTCCCCCGACCATTTGCTCCATTGATTGATCGGTGGAGTTCATCATGCCATTCACAACCTCCCCAGGTTGCCATACCGACAGCGAGTTCAATGGTGTAGATTCCGGATTTTCCAAAGTTGGTTCAGTGGTCTCCCCCCCAGCTCGTAGTACCCGAAGAGCTGGTCGGACTCCTGCATCAAAATGTCGAGCCACCACATCTTTTAGTGGGTGCGGGTCGAATGACTGTTTCCCTGTTAGTCGATGTCTGATGCCCTTGTCCTTGAGGTCCACTTCCTGCAGCTCCAGCACCGCTTCCAAGGTTTTCGAAGGGGTCACCACCGTCCGAAGATGCTGAATTCTATTCTGTTTGTCCTTTGCCACCCAACCCGATGACATCAACGGACTTGGTCCCAACACCTGTACTCTCTTGAACGGGTTGGTCAGCTCTCCCGTTTTGTGATGCCATCTTTTGGCCTTAGCCATGACCATTGATCCAAAATTGACCATTGGCTTCGATCCCACTCCCAGCCTCTGAAGTTGTAGGCGTAGTCGTTGAGTCGCAGCATGCCTCAATGCACATGGCCACAATGACGCCTCCACCTTGCTGGTGTGTAGGAGGAGCCTCATCCTTCGTTTGAGCTGCAGGAGCTCTGCTTCCACCCTGCCATTTGACTGGCTATCATCACCCGAGGTCATCGTGTGAACCATCTCCCTGGCCTGCACCCACTTGGCCACTGCCTTCGTGAGGAAGGACTTCTCCCGGTCCGAGTGCAGCCGGCATGGCCGCACTCCCAGCATCCTGTAGTGAGCATGGACCTTGGAGAGCGCCTGCACGATGTCCTCCACCGCTCGAGATTGCATCGGCTCTGCAATCGTGAGGTTCTGAAGTGGAACCTCTTCCTGAGCTCGCTCCAGCGCAGCTTTCATGTTCAGCTCAGCCACCTGCTCCTCTGTCGCCAATTCCACTTCCTCTTTCTCCTCTTCAATCTCCACCACATCCTTGACCTCCGACTCATGGTCCAGTGGTTCCTCTGGTGCCCCAGCTAGATCCTTCACTATCGGCACCGGGATCGTCGCCACCATCACATACCTGCACCACTGGTTCAATCCAAGGTCTCTCCCCTGCTCAAACGGACCCATGATGTCCACCGCCATCACGAAGGCAGACGAGGCGTTTCTGGAGCGTCGATGTGGGCTGGAGAATCCCATTGCTTCCACACAATCCCGACAATCTCTCCTGTAGGGAACGTGCTCTTGCTTGATGTGCCTCTTCCATTCCTCCACATCCATCTTGGCCAATCCGATGTGAGCTCTCCCCCAAACCGAAGATTCAAGGCCAGTCCAATCGCCTTCACCAGCCCACTGGACCACCGCGCCCACGACCGAGATGCTTTCATTCTCTCCTGTAGCCCTCCCTCCACTGGGTCCGCCGATCCTCCTCCCCTGAGTCCATTCAGATCTTCCAGGTGACGAAGGTTGGTCAGCAAACTAGTGGGTTTTCGCCGGGAGTGCCCCGTTCGTCCTTGGTCGAAGCTAACCAAGCTCATTCCATACTCGTCCACCATTCTCCTCAACAATGGCCATTCAAAGAAAGATGGGTGATCATGCCCGGCATCGACTCCATCTCCCACATAGCTTGCAGGGTCCTGCGGAGATTCCAGAAGAAATGCCACCGAATCAGGTCCTTCCCGATGCTCCTTCGCCAGGTGCCATAGCCCCACCTGCTTCACCACCAGTGCGGAATCCCCTCGCACCTGTTCACGTTCCCGGGCCGTTAGCCCCTCCAGGCCCCAGCGATCATCGCCACGACCTCTCACTCTCCTCGGTCCTGGCGGCCCCTTGCACCTCAATCTGCTCGTGGTACGACAAGGCGGACCCCCAACCACTCCTTTCACCTTCCCGGATCTGGCCAGCGAGCACACGTAGCTCCACACATTCGCGTTGTGCACATTGAAGCCATCTCCCAACTCCAAATCCAGGAAAATCCAATCCATGTCATCGGGCAGTGTGCCTTTCCACCTCCCTGTATCCGCTCCAGAGAAAAGGTGAATCACCAGGCCACGACTTCGCTGATGTCGACGCCTCTGACGTCTATTCCAAGGCAGCAGCTCTGGGCTCGGTTCACTCGAAAACCCAACCATCATCTCCAGCACGTCCTCCGGCACGTCCGGCATGATGCTACGCCACCAATTCCAGTCCACTTGGGACAATCTCTTCCGATTCTTCTGGTTCTCTTCAAACTCTGCCAACATCACCATGGCGTCCTTTCTATTCATGACAGGGCACCCCGATCTCAGCCAACACTTCACAGCTCCAAGCTGCTGGTGCATGATCGTGCAACCCTGCCCATTCCAGTGAATGGCATACCCATTCTCCACTAGCAGACTCAGCGGCAAGATCGGCTCCACTGGCTCCAAGGACAAGAGGGTGTCAAAGTCCGGGTGCTTGTACAAAGTTGTACATCCATGGGCAAGCTCCACCGTCACAGGCTGCAACCTCCCTCGCTCCTCCTGTCTTGCCATTCTCAATGGGTGAGTAGCTCCACCATCCAATAAGGCTAGCTCCAAACCCTCATTGGTATCTGCCACATGAATCTGCTTCAATCTGAAAGTCTTCATGCTGCGGAGGGACTTCAAGAGGGATGTGGCCTCAGTGATCAGCTCCGACGTCGGATCACCCTTCTTTTCCAATTCAACTCCACCATCCCGTCCCTTTTCTCCTCCACCTGCCACCGGCCGTGTAGCCGCGGACAAAGAGCTCGTCAATGAAGTAGTTCCTGACTTTTCATTCGGGCCAGTCTCCTCCTTCTCCGACGTCCCTTTCCCACTTCCCTTCAACTTGGCCGTCTTTTTCCCATCCTTCTCCGGTCGTTCCCGACCATACGGACAGTCCTTCGCAAAGTGGTTCTCCCCGGAGCAGTGAAAACACCTGCCCGTCTTGTTGATGCCCTCCCAGGCATGGGCGAAAGTACAGGTCTCTCCCCGCTTGCACCCACCAGTCGTACCCCAGTAACGGCATGGATGTTTCGTCTTTGGTGGTCCATCTCCGCCTCCGCCTCCTCCACCCAAGGCCTTAATCGTTGGCTGAGCCCCGGCTGCTGGCTGAAGGACTGCTCCGGAGCCAGTAGTCTTGGCCGACGAAGGATGTGGCATAGTCAACGCCAAATCTTCCGCTTCAGCCTGGAGAAACTCCGCAAACTCCTTGGTGGTAGTTAACGTTGGCCTTCGATCGACCTCCAGTTCCTGCCGAGCTGCAGCAATCCTGAATCCCACTTGGCTTCCTCCATGCTTCGTGAGATTCTCCGCCACCTTGGACAAGGCCTGAATCAAGACCATCGAATCCGGTATTGCTACATGCAATTCTTCAGCTCGACAAATCCACCTGCGCCAGGTTCGAATGGCACCCAGTGTGTCCTGGATAGAACTGCCACACTTCACCTCCGTCAGGCTGCGCAATAGATTTCCCCTTTCTGCGTTTCCACCAGGTTGGTAGATGGTGAAGAGCTTGTACAAAATCGCCTGAGTCGCCACTCGTCGACTTGCCACAATGTCCTTTCTCACCGGTTCCGGGAGCGCAGCTAGCAAAGTCGAGCTCGCCCGCTGATCCAATCGTTGGAACCGTGGGGACACCTGCTCCTCCACCTTGATTCTCAACCGCCCCAATGGCGTCGCCAAAAGCCACTCATTGTACTTCACCTCCACTTCTCGCTGCACCCAATCCCAAAACTCGCGAGACGACGTACTGAGGTCTCCCATCAACGGGGAAATCACCGTCAGCCAGTCCCCAAAGAGCAGGGCCGCATTCTCAGTCGAAGGTGATGGCAACTGTGGCAATTCCAAATTCCGCATTGCCTCAAGTAGGGCCGCTGTCACCGATTCCATCGGCTTCATCCCATTCACCGCCCCATTCAAACCATTTCCATGACCTCGAAGATCGGGTACTGGAGCAAGACCAGGAGGAGTATCAGGTGCTCCACCAGGCTTAGCATTCTCTCCCATCGGCTCTTGAGGTCCTTCCGCCTTCGCACTCGGCACCGACGTGAACGATGCTGAATCTCCAGCGTCCGTCATCTTCTTCACCTCCCGAGCAAAGGTCTCCTCGGCCTCCCTCAAGATGCGTTCTCGAAGACGTTCCACTTGTCCCAGGCCCGGACTCGGCACAGGAGGTTGGCTTCTCGTTACCTCGGACTCACGCACGTGTGACTCACCCTTGGCCGCTTGCTGCACTGAAGCACTCCAAAAAGGATTCACCGTCCCCAAAGGTCCCACCGGCGTGGTAGGATAGGGCTCCAGCACCCGAGGGTGTACATCATCACGTCCTGCTCCAGCCATATAAGGCGATGCCCCACTGCGCTCCATTTCCACCCCGCTCTGCCGCAAGGGAGTACCAGCCGCCAGCCCGTGCCCTGCGAGAACTCCGTATCCGGTACCAGCATGACCTCCATGATCACCGGGCCGAAGAAGAGGATCTAGTAGGGTAGGTTGGGAACTTGGCCTTTGAAGAGCATGTTGCAACACTTCAAATGACTGCCGAACTGCCTCCTGCAAATGCCCAAGCCCCATCACCTGGCCTCTTGGGTCATTCAACAGCTGTCGAACTTCCTGTTGTCCTTGGTGACCACTCGATGCGGCCACCGCCGGAGGGCCTCCCTGGCCTGATCCAGCCCCAGCAGCTGCTCCCAGCCGCTTCATCTCCGCTGCCCTCACAGGCACTGATTGCGCCCTCATGGCCTTGCCCTGCAGCTCCTCCTCGATGAGCGCATCCAATCGGCGGTCAGCCACACCAATCTCCACCGGTGGAGCCGCTGCCTCTTTCCGCTCTCGAGATCGTTGCTGCCGGCGTCTTCGTTGTTCCATGGGGACCAACACTTCCCCGTCCTCGCGACGGTGGAAGGTGGACTTGGAAAATCCAAAAAAAAACGATCACCTTGGGCCCATAACCTGTGGTTATGAAATGGGATGCCCAGCGCGTCGGGCCTTTTCAACCTTGAGCCAAAGTAAGACGAAAACACTCGTAGCGCTTGGCTTTCTACGAGGTGTGGTTGTACACTTTTTGATTTGTGCACTTCATGAATCACAGAATCATTCGGATGGTGAAAACGAGGTACACTTGCTGCACGCGTATGACAACGCGCCCGTGGACAGTCGTCTTGGCCGTGCTCACGCAGCACTCGAGGAGAGGGGCCCGCCGAGCACGATGTGCGACCGGCAGGTGGCGGAGTCACGGCTCGAAGCCGGTCGTTGAGCGATGTAGACGTAGACAGCACGGCCGAGGAGCTCGGAGGACGACATCCGAGTGAATCCACGAAATCCTTGATTTGGAGGGTAGACTCTGGATTCATCAGAAATCTCATAACTCTGGATTCAGGTTTTTCCCCAAACAACTTTGCTGTGAGGGGTTGTCAGTTCTTGCATAGAAACCGATCCTGAGCCAAAAATCATTTCTGTCCTTGTGTCCCACATGGCTCTTCTGGATGCTGGGCGGAGATGATTTTGCTTTGTCTCCTCGTGTCTCCCATGGCTCTTCTGGATGCCAGCTAGGCCGAGACGATTTTGCTTTGTTTGCTTTTTTCACCTCTGTTTTGGGACACTGGGCTGAGATGATCCTGCTTTATCTCTTTTGTTCCGCTTTGTCTTGATGTCCATTCTGGCTGAAATTGATTCTGCTTTGTCTCCCTTTGTCTCCCATGGTTCTTCTTGGGTGACAGGCTGTGATGATTCTGCATTCAAGAAGCACGCAGAGTAGCAGCATCAAACGGTGAGAACGCCGACCAGCTGCTCACTCCCCAACACGGAATGCGTGGAACACCGCCACAGGAGATGGGGATCTCTGTGGCCAACAGCGCGATTACCACCTTGTTCGCGGCCGCGCTGTTGTTCGCCTGCGGCTTCTACTTCTTCTTCCAGCGCCGTGGGCAGAAACTTCCAGTGGGACTTGGGATCGCGGCCGTGACTGACCGGGGGGTTGGAGGGAAGCCCTTGCCTTGTGTGAGTGAGGTTGCTATCATCGACCTGGGCAGATGGCTGAAGATGTGAGAGTGTGCCCCCCAAACTCCCTTGTGGACACAACGAACTTCACACTGCTTCAGAGGCCAACGACGACGGTTTCCCGCTGCTTTGCTCCCTGGGTTGCGCTGCTTTTGGAACCGCATCCATATGCCATATGATTTACAGGTACAACCCAAACCCATCAAAACCCCAAATGCCTGGCTTAGTGGGCAGTACAACCGTCCAGTATGAGGTATATTCATGGAGATTCTACCAGGTAAACTGGCTGTAGGTCATGTCGTTGTCGCAACCCGTCTTTTTCGCTGCTTGCGGACGCGGTCGTTTTCCTCCGAAGATTCGGCAGGAAAATACATCACTTTCAGGTTCGATGAACACTGGCTACTTCGATCTAATTTGGCCAGATCAAGTCCTTTGATCAATCTCTCGAGACCAAAACACTGGTTCACGTCTGACCCTGTACCGAGGTGTGCATGAAAACCCATTCGAGGGTGGGCCCTTGGGCTCGTTTCCTAAACAGGCTGGCTCTTCTAGCCGGTTCTTGACACTTCGGAACATCCGAAAGCCCTCAAAAGCCAAGTAGACTCCAAGGAGGCCATAGGCCCTAGGCTCGTCGTTCGGCCGCCGGCGCCGAGGTTCGGCGGCTTCATCTTCATGGTCATCGGTTTGTCCATTTTGATGTCGACCAACTTGTTGATGCCCTTGCTGATGTTGGTGGGCCCTGAAGGATCTCAGGCACGGCGCCGAGCCGAAGTCCGGGGTGGCCTTTTGGGCAGACCACGCGTTCTTTGTTTGGTCTTGTGACGTCGATGTGGCGGGGGAGGATGGAACACCTCTGGTCGTTGCACGTGAGGAGTCTCTCAGGTGCTTCGTGAAGAGATCTCTTCACGAAGGAAGGGATCCACTCCGCTAGGCACCTGGAAAATACGACTCATTTCTGGACCTTGAAGGCAGGTTTCTTCATATCCAATCCAATCCACCAGGCAGGTGACTCTTGGGGAAGGACTCTTCGACCGAAGGCCAACCGGATCCGGAGGGAATGCCGGGTGCCCGTGGGGGTCGGAGGGCCTCTCGGTTCGGTAGCGTCCGACCTCAAAGAATCGGAGGGCGAAGCGAAGCAAGAGAAGGAGAAAGAGGGCGAAGCGTGGAGAACGGTGGGGGCATTTCTTCTCATTTATATAGCATAAAGCTACAGCAGCTGCTGAGTCTTTAAGTCTTTTTCTCTTTCGCCCTTCTTTGTGGCCTCTACATTCCCTCCAAAGCCGCACCGCTGCCGGACTGAGCGCCGTGCTTTCCAGGGGCGGTGCTGCCGTCGAAAGAAGTACAGCACAGTCGTGAAGATGAGCTCGACTGAGTGAAGATGAGCTCGACCGAGTCCGAGTGAGGCCAGCCTTTTTGGTCAGGCTAACAGTTTGGCCTTCAACCTTGCGTCTTGCGCGCTTACTTGCTCCCACTTCTTCGCACTCTCAATGGATGGTGCACCGAAGGAGTTTTTGGATCCCGACCACCCACACAAGGAACGCCGCTGCAATGTGCATGGTTTTCGGTCTTTCGACACATGGCATTCTTCCGGTTGTTGGCGATTCCACATGTTGGGTCGAAAGAAGGGGATCCCCTGCAGACACCGTTCGAGGCGCGAGCAAACGTCCAGCCTCTCGCTTGAAGCGAGACGGACAGACCATCTTACTGGATTCCAGAGGTGTTCGATGAAAAACACTGGTTTTGTGGCCCCATGGCTAGACATCACAGCCTGTAGTGCAGGTATGTGCAGGTAACAGTTTGGCGTAAAGCTCGTACTGAGCTGTTCTGTGGGACTTACACCTTCGGCGTCAGGGATCAACGGGTCACCCAGTACACATTGAGACATGTTGGGTCTCTCCTACAGTATCACCTGTAACAGCCAGTAGACAACTACAGCTATCACTATTTTTGAACAGGGTCTGCAACCCAACCATCATCCACTGAGGCCCTGGTAATATTATAGACCCAAGAGACATGTTTATAGGGATCATTTGTGCGTCGGTGACGTGGCTTCTGGAGCACCAGTCTGGTTTTCTTTGTCGGGTTTGTGGGTGGGGTAGCGCAGGCTCGGTCGGAGTGATCGCGTCCTTCTCCGTGGGGTGTCGATCGTCTTTCGATCCTTGTCTTTTAACATGTCGAAGAGCCAGGATGGTTTAACCGGTGGTTTAGGTCTGGAATCCGGGAGGGCCTGGAGTCGCCTCCTTTTTCGCGCATCGGGAGGAAGTCGTCCTTGTGAAGTATATAGATCGATCCCGAATCGATCCCAAAGAACTGGTTCTTCGAGAGGACTAGAAGAACAAGTTTCCCATACCCTTTGAAGAGGTCAGGCGATTGTCTGGCCAGCATTGGTGATGAGAAAGCGGACTAGTGCCCAGGTGAACTAAAACTGCTCATGTTAAGTTTTTGGCTGTTCACCAAAACATCTGCCAATAGTGTTTCCCCTGCAGCTCCTCTTCATCGTGCTCACTGAGCTCTCATGTCTGGAAACCCGTAGTGTGGACAGGAGAAAACATGGACAAGCGAAAAGGCTAAAGATAATGGGTTGGAGAGCGTCTGATAGAGGGACGGGTACCACATGGTCAGGTTGAAAAGGAGCCATTTGCAGTATCTTCAGACCATGAGTCCAAACCTCACCCTACAAACATCTACAAACCATGGAAGGCTTATGTGGCTTTGGACCCACACCCCATGTTGCGGCCTCTTCTGGTTCCACCTGTTGGTCTCCACGGTGTTCGACGTCGGGGAAGGGAAGGGAAGGACCACCAGCCCACCGTTTGTCTTGCTTCGTGACATCGCGGATGACTCCTCTTGCAGCTTGCGGTGGTGGATATCCACAGCATCCTTTTGAGGGTGCCGTTTGTGCCATGGTGGCCACAAGGTTTTGGTCGGAGCTGAAGGCTGACCTTAGAAAGGAGAATCCAGACCTTTCATTCATTTTCATATTCCCCTCATCTGAACGATCTGTGTGAAGAAGGCCCCCAGCAAAGAGATTTTCGGCGCCGGGGTCCTCAAATTAAGGGGTTGGAATCAGTGGCTACATTGGCTTGTGTAGTTGTTTGTATTCTGGTGTCGTGTTTTCTTACCGATTTGCCAGGTGCAATCACCATGAATCATCTTCGAACTCAGTATGACCAAGACCACCGCATCGACCAGGACACCTTGGGACCTGTTTCAGCATGAACGGCACGAGCTGAATCTCCCGGTGATGCCCCGCAACGTCCTTTGATCGGCTTGATTGAGGGATGAGCGCGGCAGCCCGTTGGGGATGCTTCAAGTTGAGCCGTGGGACAGGAATTCAAGACTCCTGGTACTGGTCACAAAGGGGTGTCCATTTATAGCCCCTTGGCCATTAAGGGGTGTCCAGTAACCACCCCTTGAAGGCCCTGGTACATAGATTGTTTGTTATTTTGATGTGAATCTTTACAAGACATGTTTGCGTTGTGTTTGCAGTGTAGCTGATGCCGGAACGAGTGAATAGGAAAACAAACAATTTGAGGCAGGTTCCAGTCCCACTGCGGGAAGGCTGCGGGAAACCTGCGGCACCCGGTCACCAGTCAGCTGGTTTGCACTTGGTACTCCGTGAAACGGAGGTTGCTGTTGAAGAACAGGACTGTTGGACTGTTGAAGAACAGGACTTCCACAGTGGCGTGCCCGATCGGCACACCGTGTGAGCGCATGAGCAAAACAGCAAAAGCACTGCCCTCTTCCGCAACCAGACCAAGAAATCTAGCTCAGACTGACACGCGGGCTTCTGGTAAAAAATATGGGCCACCCATGCACTGATTTACCTACGTTGCAACATCCTAAACTTGTCAAGATATTGCGTGTGAGGGTTGCAGCACGACCTTCCATCTCTGGGCTTCGCTACGCTCAAAGAAAGAAAGACAGAAGAGGCTTCACTACATTCCACTTCAGAAAGGACGAGCGCTCTGCTTCGCTAGTTCCTGTGACAATCCCCTTTGTCTCACAGTTTACACCCAGCTCCCAAAACACCCAGCTCCTAGCCACCTCGAAGCAAGCCACGACCAGGGTAGGAGTCCGGTCGATTCTCTGGAGCTGAGGAACAACTTGTGGCCCGGTGCCAAGAACATTCCTTTGAGCCTTCGGGTGGTCTTCAGCTGGGTCCGGCGCCCCATTTTCCGAGCCATTTGGGTTCCAGCTTGCGGATGGCCACCCAGACGCAGTAGAACAACAAAGATGTTCCTTTTTTGGGGGGGGGATTGTGAAGGTTATGGACACCCCTCCGAGTCTTCTCATGATTCTCCTGGTATACCATAGCCCCTTGGATTGTTTTGACATTGACTGCCCGGTTCTAGCTGTTGCGTCCGGTCCACCTGGCAGTTCCTCCACCCAACCGAGGCCCTGGTTCGGTTCTTCGGTCCCCGCCCTCGGTTCCGAGGCCGAGCGTTGCGACGTGGAACTGGGACAGGCATGGAAGCTACTAGGAACAAGTGCCTTACTAGTAGTAACAAGTGCCTTACTAGTAGTAACAA